CCCAATCTCCCTATTAAGTTTTACCCCAAAAATAATAACAATAGTAACAGTAATATGATCATGATGATTATGATGATCATAATAATAATAATAATAATCATCAGCATCATCACCATCATCATCACCATCATCAGCATCATCATCATAAAGGAAGCAGTTTTTCAAATAGTCTAAATTACTAGTACTAGGTTCTCCAGATTGCAAAATGCTTACGAGCCAGCCTGTAGCGGTTATAGAGATGAAAAAAGGAGTCTAATTTATATTTATTTTTTCATTTAGGGTCAGTATTTCTCTTGCTTCAAGTTCAAGGGTAGTTTTCGGGAAATGTTATGCGGCCTTTGTCGTTAATCCGGAAACTTCGCCGGTTGCCTAAGGTTGTCTCCCGTTGAACTTGGTACTACTTCCGGCGTTGGCGGCATTGCCGATGGAAATATTTTGTTGGTCTTCTTGTTTGGTACAAAAACCGACTGCAAATATTTAAAGCAATTGGATCCCCGCAAAGTAAGTATTTATGCAAAGTATATGTTCATTTCATGGGATAAATTTTGCAAGAACTACCCTATAGAGCATCGCACTCAAACAACTGAGATCGAGAATCATTACTGCTGCATTTACAGCAGGGGGTAGAATCCCTTCCAAGAATACACATGAAAAGTCAGTAATGCCAGAGCGCCGAAGTTGTAACAAACTCTCACTCCCGTCACACCCATCAACTCACTACCAGATTTTACTGTTTTTCTCATTATAATAAGCACACACAGATTAAATGAATGAAAGTGGCTATTCTCACCCGCCCGGAAGTTCTCGCAAGATCAACTCCTCCCCTCTTCTCTCTCTCTCTGTCACTTTCTGAATACTGTCTATAGGTGTGGACGATCAAATTGACCAAAACAAAGTTAAAAAATGATGTTAAAACACAAAAGTAAATTAATTTGGTTGTCTACAAAGATGCTACGGCTATTTGGCTATTTAACTTTTCGAATCGAGCCGAACTACGCGGGTCGCCATTTTGTTTTGCCCGGAAATTCTCGCACTACCCCTCTCTCTTTTTCTCTCTCTCTCTCTCCACTGCCCACAAACAAAGTTGTACGCTTTTAGTAGGCTACAGTTGTAATGGAACATTTGTTCACGGCACAGAATTCTACAATTTTTCTGTTATCACAGTGTAGAATTCTGTGGTTTAGGGTGAACGCAAAATTTGGTGAACGCGCACCGGGTGAGAATAGCCACAAGACTTGCCTGCACTATTCTCACTCCGGGTGAGAATAGAGGTGGCCTAAATGAATATCACGTTGATCTACGCCAGTCTACGGTCTTTTTTATTCTGAAAGGCCACCTCTATTCTCACCCGGCCCTGGGTGAGAATAGCGCAGGCGAGACTTTTGGCTATTGTCACCCGGTGTGCATTCACCGTTATAGCCTAGATCTAGATCCAGGCCAACCAATTTTGCGTTCACCCTGAACCACAGAATTCTACACTGTGATAACAGAAAAATTGTAGAATTCTGTGCCGTGAATAAACGTTTCATTACTCTACTATTGCTGTTAGCCTAAAAGCGTACAATTTTGGCAAATTTTGTCTGTGGGCAGTGGAGAGAGAGAGAGATAGGAGTAGCACGAGAACTTCTGGGCAAAACAGAATGGCGACCCGTGTAGTTCGGCTTGATTCGAAAAGTTAAATAGCCGTAGCATCTTTGTATAGCAATGCCAATCGCCCGCTGCGCCTTGGGCCGGAAATCGGCCTCCGCGCGAGGGGTATCTTTTGGGCCGCTCAGAATCAGAAGTGACTCTCTTCTAAGTATAGTTACGGGGAAACTCCTGGACGAAAATAAATGAAACTCGGCAACCAACCAGAGGAAAGGTTAAACTAACGACATGCCAGCGTACAATCCCGAACGATTACTAGAACCGGAGATATTGCCGTGTTTGTGCGAATTCCCTCTGCGGTTCGAAAACTAAGCGGAGCTGCAGGTTGATCGGCAACAACACAAGCGCCCCACATGTCTTCTTTATTGCTGTAAAATTTCAGATCTCTGCGTTTAGTAGATTTTCCGTACCAACTTAAAATTACCACCCATCCATTGATAAAACACTAGATCTAAAAACTTGATCGCGCATTCCAAACGCGAGGTGCCGGCATGCAAGAGGCGCGTGATCGCTAGGCGGCATGTGATTGGCTGCCTATAACCAAATGGGTCACCGATGACTACATCGCGGGTTTTCCCGACAGCGCTTTACTGAGTTTTAGAAGGGGTGATCGCGTCGCGGTAAAAACGATGTCACGCAATTCAACAAATTTCACGCAAATATCAGTCTTTAAGATCCAAAGTAATGAAGACATCGAAAAAGTGATAGCAGAACTAGATTCGGCACTAAAAATCACATGGAGATGCCAAGTTTCATTCATATGCTCTCTCTCTCTCTCTCTCTCTCTCTCTCTCTCTCTCTCTCTCTCTCTCTCTTTCCCTCTCACACACACACCCACTCACATACACACACACACACTACTGGGTGTGGGCGCTGAAACTATCCGAAATCACAAAAGATTTATCCCAACCGGGTCTGTATTCTTCTGGACTTTGTTCCCAGTTGCCGGGTCTGTATACACTTCGTTTTTGTTATTGGTAGCGTTAATTTTGACAGAGTTGCGCTGTGACAACTAAAGGGGCATTAATTGCGACAGAGTGAGTCTGTGACAAAAAAAGAATTAGAAAAAAGAAAAACAAAGACACGCACAAATACAACAGACACACACAAAGGCACGAATGCACACCGCTCACGCTTACCTTATACATACACACACACACACACAAACACCAAACTGACTGGCAAACGATAAAGACTGTCGCAGTTTGTTTCTTCTTGTTGTTGTCGCTGTTGTTGTCCTTGTGGTTTTTGTTGCTGTTGCATGCTGCTGATGTGTTGTAATATTTGTTGCCTCGATGTTTGGGCTGTACATAATGTGTACTCATAAAGTCAATTCTACCGTACAGAAAGTCTTTGTGGATTTTTGCCACTCTCTTTAACTTTACGTTTGCCTTCTTAACTGTCTCAGATGATTTCTTCCTAAAGTCAACAAAATTTTCATCTTTAAATTTTGCAAAAGCTTTGTCAAATTCGTCGTAAGATTTGAATGCCTGCCCTAGAAAGCCTTCCATGTTGTCAGGCGGAGACCAGATAACAAGGACCATACTGGGAAGCAAAGCGGAAATGGTAAATAGTAGATGATGTTAATCTACTATGTGGATTGCAATTTTAACACCGCGTTAGTTGTTACAGCGCTACTCTGTCGCAATTAACACTACCTTTATTATTAATGAAAGTAATGGCAAATGTGGTCAAGACCCATGGTCATCCAACTTCCAAGACCTAAGACCGTAGTCTAGTGAGTGTGGTATTGATATTATAATCTTGAACTGTTTTTGATTCATGATTCATCATGTATCTTGTGATGATGGTACATGGTATAAATGCTTCTCATTTGTTTGGCGCATGTGCATGCTAGAAGATTCGTCATTCTCCGGGTTTGGCCCCTGGGATAGGCCTACTGAAATTTCCTCCTGGTTTCAGCAAAATCGTCTTCTAGATTGCTCATTTTCCGGTAATTTTCGTTGGAAATGAAAGAATAACAACACTTCAATGTGATAGTTGCCATACTTGTCAAACCCCCAACACTTGACCATTTTGCAATTCCAAACGACTTGGCCAGGTTTTGCGGCCTCTGACAACTAGATCTAACTGAGCGGCCGAATTCGTCCGCCTCGCGGTCAAGTGGTTAAGGGTATCGTGTAATCATTAGGCCAACACTGTCTATTTCACAGATATGTATCATCCTATTACATTTATTTAGGCTAGGCCTACCTGTTCTTAGCACTTAGGTCAGAGTTAAATCCTTTGTATTCTCAGACCTGGTGAGAGTAATAGTAATAGTATAATTATTCTCACCCGGAAGCTTTTGCAATTATAAGAAAGTTTAGGTTTGATATTTCCTCTTGCTCACCGCCCATCAAACATAGTATGGGCATGCACAGCAAAATGTAATCGTTTTGAACCAGAAGTAATTGGTGGGGCCAAAAACCCATACTCCATAGATGATAGTTATCGTTGGGGCCAGAACCGGATTACCCTGAAGATTTTAGTTGCCATGGGTACAAGGAAAATGTGTCACAACATGGTGGATAAAAGCCCTCATTATTTTTATTCATTGAGTTCTTGGTAGTATAATCTTTGAACTGTTTGTCTTGCTTACCCATAAAAACCCATTTTCTTACCAAGAAAATACCCTTATATCTTGAGTGGAAATAGAGAGATATGTCAATATTTGTGATTGACGGAGGTTGGGGTTACCTGGACTGGTATCAGGGGTAAATTAATTAGGGAGAAAAGGGGGCTACCAAAGTTTAGCACTTCCCACGGCGTCACTTTTCGCCTGATTCTGTTACTTTTAGTTAGCGTGACTCAGCAGCCCGCCGGAGCTCCGCGGCTCGGGGTCACGGGGTTAATGAGCCATTAAGCGACTTTGCCGGTGTCGCTTAGGAAGTTTGCATTTTTGACTGTGTTTAAAACGATATAACTTCTTCCCCATCCCACATAGCAAACCATTACGCAGATGTACTAAAAGCTCAATGTCTTGAGATTTATTCTGCGTTAGAATGGTTAATTTCTGTGCCTTAGTTTTGTGCTAGACAAGTGTTTGTAGAGTATGCTCAATTTGTCCTAGTTTAGTTATAAACTTATGAATAAATGATTGTTAATTTAAAAAAGGCAGGACAGATCTCTCCAAAATCTGTGTTAAACTGACTTCGAATATCATGTCTTTTACCATGAGAAATCTTAAATATGCGCGAGTAGAAATAGTCAAGTTATAAGAGAAGAAAGATGCACATCTGCATTTTTTAACTAAAGACGATCAGCGTTAGCTCTTATTTTACTATTAAAAAAGAGAAAGTTTGCGTTTGTTCATGAATCATGCTGTGTCTGTGGCAGCCTGCAGTCAACTAAAAAGATATAATATAGGATCTAAGCGATTAAAAAAAACACAAAACCGCGTAAATACATGGGTAGAGATAAACTTCTTGTATGGAATAAACATAATGACAGCTAACACATTCATTCTTAGTTCTTGTGTCGGAAATATGCGCGGACACAATTATGAATGTAAAGAAATCAGTCGCATTGTCAGTTATTGCAAATGGTCATAGAAACAAAAAATAAAGCTGGAAAAGTCTGGTGCTGATTCAGTGTCCCTGGAAAGCTAGAAATTATTCTTATAACCCAAGCACGAGAAGTCATCCCCATTATTCAGTCAACTTACAAAACCTAGACTTAGCGTTTTAAGAAAAGTAAGGAATTTCTGGAGTGTAACAGATACTGTTCGTGTATTAGATCTACATTGAAGATGTATTCTAGCACTAAAATCGATTTGTACTTTTCATAGAGAAACTTCATGGTAACTTTTATAAACTTTCGAGAAAATATGCAAATATTCACGATTATATTAGACACATAAAGTTGTATTTGGAGGAATTACTACATAGCGAATTGTGTGCCCGGTGGATAAAGTTGCAAAATTACAGCTTTCTATTATATGCGCAGATACCATCTTTTCTGAGTATCTGCACCAATGCTATGTCGTTCATGTTTCAAAAGTTCGACAGATTTTTGACGAGGCCTTTTTTTTATACTGATTTTTTTTTCAATCACGCTAGTAAAAAAAAAATTACAATTTAGCATTGCCGACTCCAGCTCGTCTAACGAAATAACCAGACAAGTTACAACGTCCGTTCTTTTTTGAGTCTGAAGAGCAGAAATGCGTGCTTTGGATGCACTAAATGATAATTACCATAAATATAAGGATACACCTTAAATTGTACTTTGAAAAGTACCAAAAATTAAGTCAGCCCAGACAGCGGCGACAGGGAGCTGACCCCCATGACCCCGACGTGATAAGGCGCCCAACGGGGAACCCCCCCGTGGCAACTAAAATTCCACTGCCGGTGCGCCCTGTTCCAAAGCTTACGTATCCTTGGATACTGCAAATTTAATTTTTTTGTGCCTTTGATCAAAGAAATTTCATTTGTTTTGATCTTGTGACAGCTATTTCTTTCCTGATAGTTTGTGCCTGACCTTCAATAGTCCACTTGTGTTGTTTGTTTGTTTTTACAGATTTTGTTGGGGGGGGGGGGCAGAAACTGCTGATCCAAGGTTCAGGAAAGAGCTGGAAAAAATCTACCATAGTGAAAATTTGATAATTTCACTATTACTTCTACCAGCTGTTTGAAGTTGATTTGAAGTAACTAAGTCTTCGATCTCATTTTATTTAATCACATTCTTCAGTTTTGGCAGAGATCACTTTCTCTGCTTTTAACCCCTTCTCTGCTTCGCCCGAATCCAGACACTGTTTAAGCTTTTTGTTGAGAGACTGCACTGTAAAGCAGGTTTAGTTTAGCTGTGAAAGGTACAAGGGCAATTGTATGAAGCAAATTAATTAGTTTTTAACAAGGTCTGATATTGATTTCCTTTTCTTCACAGCATGACTGTGGGGGGTCACAGACCTCGCTGTTTTTTCGACATCAGCATCGGAGAACAGCAGGGTGAGTTAATTTTTCTTTTCTCCTGCTTCGGCTATTTTGTGGAATCTTTTTGGGTTTTTAAAAATTTATAGTCTGTTGTTCCTCACAGGTGAATTACCGGCGTCTGGTGTAGCAGAGCTTTGCTGAGTTTGATTCCTGAATGGGGAGAAATTTTTATATTGAGACAGAGAGTATCTTGGGTCTTTCTGCTGAGAAGTTGTATCCCGCTCAGCCCTGGTTGGCCTTGACTGAAAGGATCAGAGGCCTGCCTGCCTCCTGAATGATCTAAATTGTGTAGATGGGGGCTTCTAAACACCCACATTAATTTTTTTTTAAACAGGGAAATTGGATGTTTTAGAAATACTTTATGAGCTCCTTGCTGTTAATTGATTTCTACTTGATGTCCTAACAGTAACACCCCTACTAAGTTTTTTTTAAATCCCTTAAACAACACTGCAAGGAGGAATGTACATTGAAATGCGCAAGTTAAACTTAAGTTCTTGGGGTTTAGGCACTCTTTAGAGCTGGTAATACCTTGAGGAAACAATTGTTGTTGTGTTGACCTCAGAAAAAGTAAAGTGCCCTTGTGGGTTCTTGGCGGGTGCTCTAATGGCGTTTGCTCCCTCCTTTTCCATCATACATCATCACCCTTGCCTTATCCCTCTCTTATCTTTTTTTTTGTTTGTTTGTTTTGTTTGGTGTATGTTACTCTCTGGTATCAACTCTAATCCTCGACACTTATTATATATGACCTAATTGTGTTGCAGGAGCAGTCAAATTCTTACTAAAACAAAATAAAGCTTGCCTGTTAGCAGATTATCATTATCTCTGTACATGGTACGGACATTAGTATTAGGTTTGATGTAAAATAATTTTGTAAAAAGTAAAGTAGTTAGTAGACTATATTTGATAGCATGAAGGGGATAGTACTGACCTTTTGATATGGGTGGCTGGCGGGTGCTTTAGTGTGGTTTATTCCATTTTTTCTATCAATCATTTATCGTCCTTATTTCTCCTCCTTTTTTTGCGTTTGTTACTTTCTTGTAACAACTCTGATCTTCGGCACTAATTTGACCATATTGTATTACAAGTGCCATAAGACGCACGAAAAAGAAAGATCCCGTGTATCAGAATAGTGGGTGCGTTTTGTTGTCGTTGTACGGGGGGGGGGGGTTGGGGGGGGTCCACTTTTTTTCCCCTTTTGTCCTGCTGTTTTCTTTGCTGCTATTATTATCCTGCAGTTGTAATGTTAATTTTTTAATTTTTTTTTTTCAGTCGGGCGTATTGTGTTTGAACTGTTTTCTGATGTCACTCCAAAGACATGTGAGAACTTCAGAGCTCTGTGTACTGGTAAGTTGTCGGTCTATTTGGGAGCTTTGGTTTAATAAACTAGGTCGAAAGTAAAGTGTGTTCAGATAAAACTGCTGAGTGAAACGCGCCCCCCTCTTCTCTCTCTCTCTCTCTCTCTCTCTCTCTCTCTCTCTCTCTCTCTCTCTCTCACACATACACACACACACACACAAGGTGCTCTAGTCTGATTCTGTTTTCTCCTTTTTTCCTATCAATCATCTGTCATCCTTATCACTTCTTTTCTGTGTTTGTAATTCTCTTGTAACGCCTCTAATCTTCAACACTTATTTGAAAATGATATAAAATAATAATAATATTAGTGTTCAATAATATAGTGCTCTATCCTATATAAGTCTTAAGTTTTGATTGCTTATAATATATATATGACTTAATTGTGTTGCAAATGTCTTAAGATGCTTACTAAAACAAAACAAAAAGACATCATTGACCATTGTTGTGTCAGTGTTCGTGTCTTTTACTTAGACTCAAACTCAAACCACCTGTGTGCAGGTGCTTTGGTGTGGTTTGCTTCTTCTTTCCTATAAAACGTCTATCGTTCGTATCTCCCCTTCTTCTTTTTTGTGTTTGTTACTCTCTTGTAACACCTCTAATCTTCTGGCGCTCATATGACCTTATGCAGTTGCGAGCGCCGTAAAACCTCTACTAAAACTAATAACCATCTGTGTGCAGGTGAGCTGGGCACCAGTGAGAAGACGGGGAACGTGCTGCACTACAAGGGGGCGCTGTTCCACCGAGTGGTCAAGGACTTTGTCATTCAGGGCGGAGACTTCACGAAGTGTAAGTCGGGACTTTGAAAAATTGTTTTTAACCTTCGAACCATCCACTGTTCCCCCCTCCAATCAAGTATCGGTTTATTTATGTGCTCAAACACTCTCATTGTTATTGGTCGGGAGGTTGATGGTGAAAAATTAAGTCATTGGTTCTTCCTCATGGTATTTTCCATGCCTGTTGTTTGGAGATGGACGGTTGTACTGCCATTTGTTTGGCTCTCTTGTTTTTATTTCATGCGGGTTTAATACCCTATTTTATAAAAATGGGCCGTTTCAAAGGTGGGAAGCAGCTTTGTTTGCGTATGGGTGTCACGTTTTGTGGGACCGGACGCTTGGTTGACAGACTTTCTCACAAAAGACAGTACTTTCAGAGTAAAGATGTTTCCTCCTATGCCGGAAAGGTCACACTATCAGTGGGGCCGTTCGCACCCTCTCCTGGTGGAACAGTTTGGCTCTTTGTGTCATCCAGCGGTGAGGTTGGTTAGGAATCAACTCTCTGTTAAGTTGGGGGGGTTTTTCACTTTGTAGAGTCAAGTCCCCTCATGTAAGTCATAGGGGTTAGGGTAAGGAAATGGAAGGGTTATGGTTGGCTTTGGGATGAGGGCTAGTCATAATCGAGTCTAGTATAAGTTGTGTACACAATATTTGGCATCGGATGATTATGAAGGAAGAAGTGTGGGTTTTTAAACGTAATATTAAGGCTGGAATTGACTAGATCAGGTAAATGGAGCGCTATTAGTTTTGGTCTCTATCCTCACTGTAGTAATAATGTTTGGAATTTTGTTTTTGCAGTTGACGGCACTGGTGGTGAATCGATCTATGGCGGTGTTTTTCCAGGTAAAGTCAAAGTGTTCATGTTGTTTAAAAAAAAAAAAAAAATCTTTAACCCTGGAAGCGCGCAGGCCCTATATAAAGGGCATGAGCCGGGCTACCCGGGAAGCGCGCACGCCCTATATATAGGGCTGACCTACTTCTACTGGGAAGCGTGCAGGCCCTATAGAAAGGGCATAGACGCTGACCTTTTTTCAATGGAAAATTTAAGTATTCCTTATATGGAAAATGACGTAGTCAATTACAGGTCAAAGTTATAAATAGTGATCAATGTCTTTGCAAGTTCTCTCTACCGAGATATCGATCAATAAAGTGATGCGGCCCCGCTGAGCGACTACACGCTATGTGTTATCACTTGTTTCGCCGTGCTGATGTACTAATTGTTGAGTCTATCGCGTTCTGTGCTTTGTTTGTATTTATTTGATCGCTTATCCATTTTGAATGGTTCATTCTATTAGCTTATAATTTTATATGCCTTTTATCATCTGTTAAGCCGCAAATGGTCATTTTTCAGTCGGCCGTGGCAACGGGGCATTTTTAGCGGGTTACTTTCGGTGAAACGCTGAGCGCTTCTAGGGTTAACACAAGAAACGGTTGTCATATTTTGTTTGTCTTCCTCATCTTCAAACCCACACTTATACACGTACACACATGCACACGCGAGCGCAAAACACACACACACACACACACACACACACACACACACACACATGAAATCCTTTGATTTGGGGGGAAGAAATGAAAGTTGCATATTTCTGTTGGTATGTACAAAATTTCATGTATGTAGGCCTACACATAAAAGTTGTTGATTTTACAGAACAGGGAAACTTACTTCTGGAACAGATCTCATACAGTGTTGTTAAATTGATTTTAGTTTTTTATGATTTGGTGAGAGAGATCCAGAATCTAGTTTTTCTTCTTTCTTTTTTTTTTTTTTCGAGCAGTGGACTTGTTTTTCATTAGGGACTGTTTTTCTTTTGATAACCTCTATAAACCCGGTATTTATTTTCATAAAGATTATGGTTTCCCCCCCCCCCCCCCCCTCCATTTCCTGTGTGCCCCTTTTCTGACTCCATCCTTGCTGTATTTCAGACGAGAACCTGCAGTTGAAGCATGACAAGGAGTTTCTTCTGTCTATGGCCAACCGGGGCAAGGACACCAATGGGAGTCAGTTTTTCATGTAAGAAATTGGGAGATAAAAAGAGAGAGACTTAGAGAGTGTGTGTATGTGTGTAGAGTAATCACTGTTTGTTGTGCGCAACCCAGGAAAATGTCTCGTGATATTAATAACGTGTTTGTTATTATCTTTTGGACATATTATTTTGTTTTCATGTGCAGTTTTCCGTCCATCTTGACCCACTGTGTACGTAGAGTTGTTTTGTTGGTTTGGGTTTTTTTCGTTTTGTTTTGAAATGTTGTCAGCAATGGCTATGCAATTGTAATTGATTTCTTTGTTTTCATTTCGTTTCCTCAGTACCACCAAGGCTGCTCCTCATCTTGACGGGTAAGTTATGTGGGGGGTTTTTTGTGTATACTGAGCAGGTTTTTTGGCCCCCTGTGAGTGCATTATGGAGGGGGGGGGGGTAGCTAGTTTGATGGGCTTTGTTTTGAGGCAAAAAATCATCAGTGAGCTATATGCCGTAATTCCAGTAGTGTTCGTTTGGAGATTAATATAGTGAGTTGTTGGTAGGTGCTCTGGTGTAGTTGACTCCTTCTTTCCAATAAAACATCTGTCGTTCTAATCTCTTCACCTTTTTGTGTGTGTGTTTGTTACTCTTTTGTGACACCTCTAGTCTTCAGTACTTATATGACCGCATTATGTTACAAGTGCCGTAAAACTCTTACGAAAACAAAAAAACTTGTAATAGCTCTAATCTTCAGCACTTAAATGACCTTATTGTATTGTAAATGCTGTAAAATTTTTACTAAAACTAAAAGCCAAACAATTGTTCATTATATTTGAATGTATGTGCTTGTGTGTAGATCCACAACATTCACTGTGTGTTTGGCGGATGCTGTGGTTCACTCCTTTTTTCCTATCAAACATCTTTTGTCCTTGTCTCTCCTACTTTTTTGAGTGTGTTACTTTCTAGTAATTGCTCAGCACTTATATGACCGTTAGTACCTTATAGTGTTGATAGAGGCGTTAAACCCATTCCATTCTACCTTTTTTTAAAGAGTTAATTGTACATGAATGTATGTGTTGGTGTATGTCCACAGCGTCCACCGTATTTGAATGTCTTGTATGTCCACAGCGTCCACCGTATTTGAATGTTTTGTATGTCCGCAGCGTCCACTGCGTGTTTGGCCAAGTGCTGAGCGGTCAAGACATCATCCGCACGGTGGAGGCCCTGGACGTGGACACCAAGAGCCGGCCCAAGAAGGATGTGAAGATCGTCAACTGTGGGGAGCTGGTGCTGCAGCTCAAGAAATGTCAGTTGGTTTGCCCGTTACACGTTGCTGTCTACTCAATTATAAAGTGAGGGGTGTGCTGACAAAATGAGTCACTTCTCTCAATCCGCAAATGGAGATATTGGCCAAAAATCTACACAGGGGTCAAATTTGTAGATTTTTTATTCATACCATATTCTTTTAGTGCTACATGCCTTTTATTTCATACTTATAAATTGTAAAATCTTCACTTTTAAAAAGCATGATGTATGTATTTCCATTTGACTTGAATCGGAGAAGTAACTCTTCTATTCATGCCATATTCTTTTAGTGCTACATGCCTTTTATTTCATACTTAAAAATTGTAAAATGTTCACCTATAAGCGTGATGTATGTATTACCATAGGGCTTGAATCGGAGGAGTCACTCATTTTGTCAGCACGCTTTGCATATTTTCCCTATGGGACGTTGAGTTTGACATATAGTAGTTTGTGGATTTCCACATTTTAGATGAATAATGAGGAATGGTTGCTGATCGTGAGATGAAAGAGGATTATGGGCTTCATTGTCATTTTAGAGTTTTTGGCGACAGAACAAAACTTTTGGTTGCTCACATTTTTTGGTGGCCTTGTTTTCATATATTTTACACACACACATGGAGCACAGATTGATAGTTTGTTTCATGGTTGTTAGTTTTTTAAAAATACTCTTCTTTTTTTTTTTCTTTGTGTTTTTTAAATCTTTTGCTGTCTATGATAAATATGCAATAAGTATAATTATTATATTGTTGTTGTTGCATGCTTTCTTACAAAAACGTTTTGTTTTTGCGTGTTTAGCCAAGAAAAAAGCCAAAGCTGAGGCAGCATCAGCAAGTTCTGGATCTGACTCGGACCACGAGAAGAAGAAAAAGAAGAAGAAACACAGACACAAGCGGAAGCACAAAAAGAAGGAGTCGAAGAAGAGGAAGAAGGATAAAAAGTCTCGCTCAGAAGATGAGGACGAGGAGGAAGATGAGAAAGAGGATGAGGAGAAAGAAAAGTGAGTTGATTACCTCTATTATAATATGTGTAGGTAGATATGCATATATGTGCGTGTGTGTGTGTATGTTGATGTTGTGTGTCTGTGAAGATATATATGTCAGTGTGTGCGTGTGAACTATGCTGAGGGTACTGAATTGGAAGTCTGACTTACATAACATTTGTATGGATCTCTTTGTGTTGTGGGTCTCGCTCACGTGTGGGAGCTTCCCAGAGTGGACCTCCATTTGCATAAGTGGCTTCTTCCTTGAATTTTCAGGAATGTCCCTGCATAGCTCTAACTTATTATGCCACTGCTCTTATCTTTAGCACCAACATAAATTGGAAAGTGCACAGGAAGTGTTTTTTATAATTTTGGACAAAAAGAAAAAGACCCAAAGGCTGTGTAAAGGTGGTTCCTTCTTTGAGTTCTGGAAAGGACGGTTAGCCTTATGTAAGAACGTTTCTTGTTGTGGTATTACTGGTGTGTCTCTGTGGGTTGCTGTATGTTTTGTTTGTTTTCCCTCAGGAAAAAGGAAGAAGAGAAAGTGGACACAGTATTTGCGGAGATCCGGAAAGATGAGATACCAGATGTCCCGTCCAATTTTTTGTATCGTGGGAAGAAAGCGGAGGAGGAAGATAAGGAACAAGAAAGAAAGAGGGAGGAAGAGGACAAAAAAAACTCAGAGGCCGATAGTAGGAAACGGTGAGAGATGAGTTCAGAGCTCTAGCTTTTGATGCCAGTACTGTCACATTTTGTTCTTCAGATTAGACATACTGGCTATTTGTGTTTGTAAGTTTGTAGCAAAGCCATTATGTAACAGAATTTGAGTTCTGAGATATTCTGGAGACTGCAGTCACAGAACATGGCCTTCGCGGCCCCCGGACCCTCAGCATTGAGTTTTCCTTACTTTTTTATCTTAGGCCGATGGAAATATATATAAATATATATATATATATATATATATAATGTAAGTGTTTTTATACCAAGATCTTCTGTGTGGGATAGAGAAACACCTAACGGCCGCACCACAGACACCAGTGCCTAAATAGCTGTCGTGCCAATGTTCTTATCTTTAGCACAAACATAATGTTTTTCCTGCTGAGAATAGTTGTTATTATGATAATGTTTTTATCTTTAACCAAACATAATGTTTTTCCTGGTCTGAATAGCTGTTATACCTTTGTTCTTCTCTTTAGCACAAGCATAACTTGGAAAGTGCACAACTGGGGGGGTTAAATTATGCTCTGAATATTTGATATTATGCCAATGTTCTCATCTTCAGCACAGACATATCTTTTTCCCTGCTCTGAATAGCTGTTATTATGCCAATGTTCTTATCTTTTGCACAAGCATAACTTGGAAGGTGCCCAGCAAGTGGGGTTTTTTTTTTTTCTTTTTTGTTCAATTGTTGTTGTTTTTTGTTGTTGGCAAAGACGGAAGACAAAGGCTGTAAGTTGTGAGATCATATGAAATGTCATCATTGTTTTTTGCGGCCGCATAAATAACGACGGCGAAACACACACACTCAATATTTTTTATTTGTTTGTTGGGTTTGTTTGTTTTTTTAAACAAAAACAAAAAACAAAGGCTGTGTAAATTGTGCTATCATATGAAATGTCATCATTGTTATATTTGCTAACTCGTGCTGTTTCGGTGTGTGCCATACAGGGGGAGGTCACCACCACCTCGTAGGCCCAGCAACAGGGGGAACAGGACCATCATGTCTTCCTCTGGCAGAAAGCTGAAGGGGAGAGGAGCTATTGTAAGTGTTTGTTTTAGTGTGTGTTCATGTGCCTGTGTATGTGTCAGGCGTGCTGCGAAAGTGAGGTAATTCTAGGCTTTCAGCTCCATGGACGCAGATATATTTTATCATACGAAATGACGAAAGACTTATTTAATGTAAGGATAATGGCATCAGTTTAAACTCTACAAAATTTTATGTGTCTATTTTCGCACAACATATCCATTGGTGGATCGTGAGAAGTAACTCATTTTGTCAACACGCCTCACTTTATGTGAATGCCTCTGTGTGTTTGTGCAGGTGGTTGGGTTGTTTCTGTCTGTCTGTCTTACAAACCAAACTATGTATGTATTTCTGTTGTCTCTTCCATTCCTCTCCCCCCCCCCTTTTCCCGCTCATCTCTGTGATAAAAATATAAACAATGTTCATCCGTATAAAAATAGTTTATGTACAACCCGTACCATTTTAAAACAGAAACTCTTCTTGAACAACGCAAAGGAGTTTTCTAAAAATGTTACTGATATATATGTTATTTATAATTTATCCTGCTTCAAGGAAGTTTCTTCCGTAAAATGTGTATACTTTTATGTGCTATAGACCAATGACATCAGACACTGAAACACCTACCTGTCTACCTACCTGTCTACCTGTTGTTTCTTCAGCGTCTTCGTAGTCGCATTTGCTCCACCAGACCGCCCTTTCACGGAAGTTTCTTCTGTAAAATGCATATGCGTTTACATGCTCTAGGCCAATGACATCAAACACTTAATAAAAGACCTACCTACCTGCTTACCTGTTGTTTTTTCAGCGTTTTCACAGTCGTTCTCGCTCCGCCTCACCCCGTTCACGAAAATTTCTTCTGTAAAATGCTTGTGCTTTATATGCTGTTGGCCAATGATATATTTAACACTGAATAAAAGACCTGCTTCCTGTTGTCTCTTCAGCGTTTCCGCAGTCGCTCCCGCTCCACCACGCCCCCTCACTGGCGCCGAGAGCAGAGTCGGGCCATTCCCCTGCACGAGGCGGAGAAGTTGGCGGAGGAGAAGTGGAGCAAAGGGGAGGCTGTCACCGTCCAGACAGCTGCCTCTCGGATCGACAGAAGGAAGGAGTCGGAGAGAGGGAGGGATACTCTGGCCAATAAGTTTGAGAGGGGCCGAGGGGATGCGTCCGACTCCCGAGATGATAGGTGATTGGTCTGTGTTTGTATTTGTCTGTTTGCTTGTTTGTAGTTGTCTGTTTGTTTGTGGTTGACTGTCTGTCTGTCTGTTTGCAGTTGTTTGTTTGTTTGCAGTTGACTGTCTGTTTGTCATTGACTGATGGGTGGTTGGCAGGTGCTTTGGTGGGGGTTGCTTCTTCTTTCCATATCTTTCCTCCTTCTTTTTTGTGTTTGTTACTCTCATGTAACACCTCTAATCTTGGACACTTACTTGACTTAGTGTGTTGCAAGTGCTGTAAAACAGTTACTAAAACAAAACAAAAAAAACCCAATGTAGTTGACTTTCTGTTTGTACTTGACTGGCTGTGTTTATGGCAGGCTGTCTCTAGATTATGTTGAGAGCTTGGTCACAAAGTATCTTTTTTTAATGTTGTTATTGATGGCTAGTTTTGTATTGCAGATGGAAGTACATGGCTGCTAACTAGTATGTAAAAGTTATATTTGATATGTTATTGAGGGTCTGGGCACGGAACTATAACGTATTTGTAAATTGAGTAATTGATTAACATATTTTTGCTTGTCATTCAATGAAGCATGTGTCTGACCAAGCATTCCTCGTATTTTGCAGAAGACTTGAAAATGGTCACAGACAAAGGAAAGACGAGAGAGAGAAAGGAGAGAAGAAAGATGACAAGAAGAAGCGGCATCGACTGGAAGAGGAGGAAGAAGAGGCAAAAGGTATCTATCTACAGCATTCTTTTTGTTTCGTGTGGGTTGAATTGCTTTGTTTGTTTTAGTAGAGGTTTTACGGCGCTCGCGACTGCATAAGTTCATATGAGCGAGCACCAATTGGATTGCTTTGTGATTATGGTGTTAAAATTTGGGCACAGTTGAGAAAGTTCCAGAAATGTGGTGAAAAGGTGGGTGGTTGGCAAGTGCTCTGGTGTGGTTTGCTCCTTCGTTCCTTTCGAACATCTATCGTCCTTATCCGTCCTTTTTTTTGTATTTGTTACTTTTTTGTAACATCTGGAATTTCCTGCATTTGTATGACCTAATTGTGCCATTAAACTGTTACTAAAACTAGGGGAAAAAAAATTGGAAAAGTGCTTAGAGGCTTATCTTGATTGCACTTGTGCTGTGAACTTTTTGGGAATGCTTGAAGGATGTTCATACTGGTATGGTTTTTTCGGGGGATGGAAGGGGTCGCTAGTATTGTAGATGATTATATATAGTACACAAATACAGTTAAAACTGTCTAAAAGGGCCTCTCATTTTGGAAGAGAAAAGTGGCTGTATTAAAGAGTGGCTGTCTTACAGTGAAACCTCCACTAAAACAAAAACTAAAAGAAGTGGCCATTTGTACAGGTCACTGTCTTGTATAGGTGGTCGTTCGAGCAGGTTCGACTTTATTTATCTCTTCCTTCCTTTTGTCTCTGCATCAGCCACCAAGAAGAAAGACAAAGCTGGTGGTCCTCTGGATCAGAGCGAGGACAGTGACATCGAGACAGGGTCGGGCAAGGAAGAAGGCGAGATCAAGACGAGAAAGGAGAAAGACAAGGCCAAAGAGAGGAGCCGAGCCGCCCGCAACCGACGAGAGAGTGAGCGGATGAGGTCGGGAGACAGGTAAGGAATAGATAAAGAGAGCGCTGAATGTGAAAGTGCTATCGGTGTGGTTTGCTCATTTTTTAGTGTCAAACATCTATCGTCTTCATATTCTCTCCTCCTTTTTTGTGTATGTTGCTCTCTTGTAACACATCTATTCTTCGGCACTTGTATGTTTAGTCTAGTTTTAGTAAGGTTTTGCGGCGCTTGCCACTGCATCAGGTCATATGGGCGCCAAGGGGTGAATGTCAACAGAGAAGTCCAAATGGGGAATCAGACTTACTCTGCTCACCTCTCTGGCCTCAACAGCACAAAGTCTGCTTCGACTGTCAAGGCACCCCGGAAATAGCAGTTCACAACATACAAAAGTAGAGGAAAATGACAATAGTAAAGATGAGGAAAGAAAAAGCAGCAGTTATGACCTTATTGTGTTGCAAGTGCTGTAAAACTCTTACTGGTCTTACTAAAACTAAAAGTTCTATCGTGTGCTATCGGCTGCTTAGTGTAAGGTTCTATTGTGTGTCACTTTTCAAAATGGTGTATGGCCGAGCCATTTTACAATGCTGAAGCTGTGGTAGAATTTTTTTGGTTAAAAAAACCTTGGCAAGCATAGAAACTTGCTGTTAAAATTCATAGAGGCTCAACCACCATTCAACTATCATATAAAGTGACTTCCTTTGATATTTACTTCAGTGTAGTATGTCCATTCGTTGTTTGATTACGTTTAGTGTGCCTGGTTGCGTCGGCAACTAAAGTCGCCTGCAGTAGTGAGAGTATACTGCGGCCTGCGGTGGTACTGCAAGTGTTAAGGTTTTATTGAATTTTTTCCCTTCCAGCACATTTTTTTCTGTTGCATTAAAATACCTGCATTTAGATTTTAAATTGCAATCTCTCTGCCCTTTATTACCGTGTTCTACTTTGACCTTACTCTACCTTGTAACTTTTTTGTTTGTGGTGTATGAATAATTAAAGGATCCCTTTAGCCTGTCTTTTCCCATCTCTCCTCCTCCTTTTCCTCCTCACTCTCACCCCCAGTTTTTTTCTGTCTTGCTTTTTTTTTTTCTTGTAGCGCAAAGTGGCTCTTTTTGTTTTAATGTTCTAATATTTTTGTCAGTCAAAGGTACTCTCTGTGTTATGCTGATGTTTTCAAATTTCTTTTTGTTCTAAAGTTCCTCTTCTCCGGAGGCAAAAAGACAGCGAAAGTCTGAGACGGATTTCAAAAGGAGAGACCGCTCTTCAGAGGCAAGAGATTCGCGTCGCAATCGTTCTCGGTCAGCGGAGAGAAGGCGGGACGGGCGAGAGGACAAGAACAGAAAAGTCAAAGGTCGCGATGAGAGGTCAGATGAGAGAGCCAATCATCGGAGAGATTCCAGAAGGTCAGAGAGCTCAGATGACAAAGAGGACTCCCGCTCGAGACAACGAAGAGATGGTCGCCGTGGCTCCTCCCCGCCACATCGACAGTCAGGATCCGGGCTCAGGGGTCAGGCTGCCGATAGGAGAAGGTCAAGGTCAGGGTCACCTATGGCGCAGAAAGGAGGCCGGCCGAACAGGTGGGATGCAGGGAGGGCCCGGGACAACCGGCGCACCTCAAGGTCAGGAGAAAGGTCGAGGTCAAGGGATAGAGATGCAAAAAAAACCGATTCGAGGCGCCGGGCGAGATCAGACTCCAGCCCTGAGCAGCAAGGAAGGAGAGGGAGGGAGGCCAAAAGAAGGAAGAGTAGCCCGGATAGCTCGTCCAGTGACGGGGAGGCGCGGAAGAGAGAGAGTCGATGGAACAGCCGCGCTGCGTAAGTGTTGACTATGACAATGAGTCTCTTAATGGCCTGACTTTCTCTCGCTAGTTTATTTGTGAGGCATGCTGAGAAAATGAGATATTTCTAGGATTTTATCCCTTTGGACATAGTTAAATTTACAAATTGAATAGTTTGAAATAATTAAATTAAAGACTACATGTTAAACTTGAAGAAGTTGGCATTGGGTTACAGTCTACAAATTTTACCCCTGTGTCAGTTTTCAGCTGATATCTCCTTTCGTTTATTGCGAGAAGTGACTAAGGTGAACGGGATCTTAAACAGTTTACCATGGGGCAAATCCACGGATAGTCATGGTCATCAAAGTTAACTACTCTTTTCGAGCCATAAGTCACAAAACAACACAGGGGGTCGTGTTAGTTTGTTTCAAAATAGAGGTGGATCGTTTAACCTGATTGTGGACTAGCTTGTATCTTTTTCTGTTTCTGACAAAATGCTATTATTGACCGTTTGTTTTCCAGGGCTATCAGAAAGAAGTCAGAGAGCCCCCCACCGACCCACTGGAAACCTGGCCAAAAGCCCCTGAAGACAACTGGCAAAAGTGACAGGTGTGTGCTTGTGTGTGTGTGTGCGTGTTGTCAGTCACCTGCAGATGGAGGGCTATGTGTATTTGCATTATTATTTTTATTTATTTGGTTGTTTTGTTTGAATTTTTGTGGGGTTGGGGAGGTGTTTTGAACTTTAATTTTATTGGGGG